CTCTGGAAGAAGCATGTGTGGTGGTTGCCCTAAGCCTAGCTCTTCCCACCCAGGGCAGCAGTCCCCCACCCCCACGCCACCATTGGGTGCAATGTCCTGCTGGAAGTCCTGCCACCCTGGTATGGGGATGGTCCCAGAACTCTCCCCTCTGGCAGGGACAGGGAAGGGGGCTGGTCCTCCCCTGGGGGCATAATGCCTGCAGCAGCCCCAGGAGCATCAGAGTTGCCTGAAAGCTCTCAGTGCTGAGCAGCAGCCAAAGATGTGACACCAGGAGCTGTTGGGAAAAGCCACTGAATGGGAGTTAGTTTGAATTTTTTTTAACCCTCATCACTGTTCTTTACAAACTTATTTTTATTAATGAACATCCTTGGGTTTACGCAACTTCGTTTTCAAAGGTTTAATACTACTGCAGTGAAACTTTTACTGTTAAAAACAATACAGAGACCATCACGTACGTCCCTCGAGTGCTGCACACAGTTCTCCTTAGCCTCAGAGCGCAACGAGCCAGGCTGAAACAGCACACAGGGACAGGGACAGCCTGCACGGACCAGCACCAGGGTGCCAGGTGGCCCACACAGACCCTGAGCAGTGTGGGAAGAGGGGCAGCGAGTCTCCCTTATCCCAGCGGCAGCCAAGGAGGAACTTGATGGGCTGTTGTTGAAGCAGAGCCCACAAAGGCTGTACCCCAGGATACTGTGGATGCTAGAAGTGGGAATGGGGACCAAAAGGGATCCAGAAAGCACCTGGAGCATATGCCCTGCTGCATAGGTGCAACTCGCTCGAGTCCATGCCACACTACATGGAGGTTCCACATCGCTTCACCACCCACCCCTGACTTCCCCTGCCGGAGCATCCCTGACACAGGACCTGCCCTGTCCCCCTGTCCCTGTGCCAGCCGCAGGTGGCTTTATGGCTCTGAGGGAGCCTGCCCTGGCTACGGGCTGCCATGTCAGGTGTGGGGAGGAGCTGCCTGGGACCCCAACACTTGCTGCGTCAGGCTCCACTCCCCTTCCTCAGCACAGGATACACCACGTCACCCCATTTGGTGGTAATGTGGAAGCCTTTGCACATCTGACCCTCCAGCCTTTCCCTTGAAGGTTTCAAACATCACCCTTGATTTTGTTTTAACCCCGTGCCAGGGGGGCCCCACGAGCATGCTGGTGCTCTGCTCACCCTTAGGGGTTTGGGGTTTCCAGCTATGGGTACTCTTCCAGGGTATGGCTTGCATGGGATGTATTTGGCAGCCAGCCCCAGCCCCCCCGCAACAGGGGCAGGAAAGGGGAGAGGAAGAGCCCCAGGGGCACTGCTTAAGTCACACAGAAACAACGGCTGGGGGCTACCCCGCAGATCTGGCTGAATAGGGAAAGCAGGAAACAGCAACACCCACAGCCACCTTGATGAGGGCCACAAGCCCCACACAAATCCCAGGATGCTCCCAGGAAGAGACAGGGCTCCCAGACCAGTCCATGCTGGGTGAATGAACCTTGGTGGGGTGTTTCTTGAGTGGGAAGGCCAACGAGCAGCCAGCCCCCACTTCCCTAACCTTGCATTGGCCCAGCCAGGGAGAAGGAATGACACAGGACAGCGAGCCAGGGGTTTGGACTGGGGTGAGAACAGCATGGGGATGGTGGACAGGGAGAGGTATCAGCCCCACGCCATGGTGTGGACAAGGGCAGTTCCCCCAAGGGTCACCCCGTACCCACCTGAGCTCCAGCATGTGAGTAGCCCCCCGTCCTGGGCAGCAGCTTGGTCCTGACCTGCTGGTTGCAGCATCACACCAAGGGCAGCCCCCAGAGCTCTGGGCCACCCCTGGACTGCCCTCCTCCAGCCTGGGTGGGTGCTCATGGGGGACAGCCCTACCTGCAGCTGCCAGAAAGCAGACAGGAGCACTCGCTGCCAGCTCCTTCGCTTGACCATCAGGTTATACTGAGCAGGGCAAGGCAGGGACATGGCTATAAACCTGTGAGGAGCCCTGGCAACGACAACTGCCTCCTTTTCCCCACAAAGAAGGCTTCCCAGGCAAGCTCCCTGGCACCCTCCTGGGCTGCCCCGTGCCAAGGCTGGGACGGACGCAACCTTGCAGCCTTGCCAGCTCCAGGTTTCCTTCCTCTCCAGCTGCAGGGCGTGAGCAGGACAGAGCAGTTTTTGCAGCTGCAGCCATCCAAGCCACCTCCGCTCACGCCCCGGCATTATGCTGTCCCCAGCCAGCTCCAGCAGCACGTCCACCAGCTCCGTGCTTTTGCCCCCAGGATGCCCTCAAACACCAACACGCTGCTTGAGCTCCTCTTCAGCCCCAGGCCTGGTCATGGGTCCATCTGTCCTGCTGCCAAGGGCGCAGATGGGACAAGAGAGTCCTGGGTTCCCAGCTGTGCTCCCACCAGGGCTAAGCAAGAGTCCAGCCAACTTTTCCCTGCCAGGGTCCTGCTCCCCACCGCTGGTTGGAGAGGCATGGCTCCGGAAGCCTCCCCCACGCTGGGGGGAATGCAGCTGACTCAAACCCAGGCAGCAGGAGCGAGGCCGGGGGCAGAGCGGAGGCTACCTGCGCGGGGTGCCACATCTGCAAAGAGAGCACAGCACGGGGTGAGTGCTGCCAGGATTGGGGTGGGGGGTACACCAGGAACTCCAGGCTCACCCACTCTGGGTCCCCCCTCCTTGTGCCCAGGCTCTCTGGCACCATGGGGACCACAGGCAGCATCTTCATGGGGCAGAGTGAGGTCGATGGAGCTGTACGTGCTGGCTGAGCCCCCAGCAGCAAGCTTCAGGCCAAACAGGGAAATTCAAGGGGCAAGTGCCACCCTCAGGCACCATGCCCCAAAAGTGTTTGTGGTAGAAGCCCAGCCTGTGCTGTTACAGCAGACAGTTCGAGACAGTCAGCTAAAGGTAAGGAGGGAAAGGGTAGAGTAACCCAAACAACCACCAGCCAAGGACTGCAGGAAGGACACAGCTGGCAGCAGAATGAGGCTGAAACTGGAAATTCATAGATCCAGGAAACCCAGCATGGTCTGCCACGGAGATAGAGCTACAGAGCACTACAGCCTACCGAGCACCCATCGAGCCTCCCGTACAAGCCCCGTTTCCCACAGCTGCCCACTGTCCCCTCTGACCTTCCTCCTGGGTCTGCTCTGCACAACCCCCTCACTGCTCAAAGCACCCTTGAAAAGTTGCTCATCCCAAAGAAATGAACCCAGCAGACACCACCCACACCTGCCCCTGCTCACTTACAGTTCACAGTCTTTACGTCTCTTCTTGTCTTCTCTTCTCTTACCTCGGCCCTTGGACTTCCTCCTTTGAAAGGAAAGTACAACAAGAGGGGCTGATGTGGGGGAGATGAGACCCACGAGCCCAGCCGGTAACGCCGCCTCGATGTCACTTACCTTCCCAACCTCAGGTCCTGCCGGGGCCTGCGGGAGGGGAAAAGGACAGAGTGAGGTGGTTACTTGGGCAGTGCCGTCCGTTGGGTTGCTGGGGGTGGTTTATTGCGATGCCCCTGTGCGTAGCACAATCGACCTGCTATCATTCGTGCTTAATCAGACCCTGTATGACTCCTCCAGCCAGGAGCTGATGGCAGTAGGCAGCGAGAAGGCAGAGACAGGGCAGGGGATAGTTGGCGTTGGGGATTCCCCTGGGGATGGGACATTCTGCTAATGACAGCTTTCATAGCTCAGCTGGTTAAACAAGATGCGAGGTCCCGAGTAACACGTGGGATTTGCTCCAAAGTCTCAGTAGTGGTTCTCCGTCAACAGCCACGACACACTTGGCTTAAGCATTCCTCATAGGGGCCAAGGCCAGGACATCCACCACGCCTACGCTAAACTTCAAAGGGGAGCGATGGAAAGATGTGGAAGGCAGCTTAGGGAGAAGCCGAAAGGTGCTGCAGAAGCAAGAAGTTTACACTGATTCCAAGGCAGCCTGAACAAGTACTTGTAGGAGATCCCCGGGGAGTTACCCTAGATAGGAAACCCACAACAGGCTCAGGAAATTCCCTGCATGGAAATAGATAGAAGTGGAGGTGGGGGGAAATAGCACATGTGCTTCTTCCCACTCCCTCTTCTGTATTCACCAACGGATGCTCCAGAGACGGCACGGAGCTGGGTGAGCCTTGGGTCTGCTCCAGCACAGCCGCTCTTACAACTGCAGGGAAATACCGACCCAGGGATCCTCGGGCTCTTCTTCCAGGCAAGGGTCATGGCTAACAGCTGCCCAGCAGGACGCTCAGTCTCCAGTTTTCCCAATACTAAGTCGCCATGGGGTCACGATGGAGAGTAAATGCCAGGACCCCCACGCAGGCAGTGCTGGAGAGGCTCTGCAGCAGGGACCAGCTGCGGACAGCACCGGAGATGCTCCCGCAGCACTGCAGCCACAGGAAAGAGGCCCCGTCCTGCCCATGCTCTCACTACTTCTGGGACACCATGAGCACCCCGAGAGGTTAATTATGTGCCAGGAGTCCAGCAGGCTGGTGCTGCACATCCATGCCAGGCCAGCGCTGCATATCCATGCCAGGCCAGCGCTGCACGTTTTAAGCTTTCATTTGTCAGCCTGGCCGCAAACCCCTGCTCCCCAGCCCTGGATGGGGCAACCTCCCTTACATGGATGCCCAAGGCCCAGCCCTTCGACTTCCTCTTTGGGCCATGACCACGCTTGGCTATGCCAAGCCACAGAGCTCCCTGCTGAGCCACCACCTTGGGCGCGCTGTCCCGGAGCCTCTGGCCTTGCTGTGTCACCCACGGGCAGCTCCTCCAGCCAGAGGAGCACACGCCAGGCATGCCAAGGCAGCCACAGGGACGTGGGGTACAGACACAGAGCCAGGGTACCGCAGCAGCTCCAGTCCTGCAGACAGTGCATGGTGCCTGACCTGGCCAGAAAACCCCAGTGCAGAGACAATGGGGGTGTCCTGGCACAGCTGGGGTACCCCCACGGCATCCTTGTCCCACATACGGGGTGAGCTGGCAGGGTCACTCTTGCTGGAGAGGCACAGGGGCACAAAATGAGCCCAGGGGTCCCTACCTGCACTCGCAATGCTTGTGCTCGGTGAATGCCATCTCCACGTAGGGTGCCTCCCCGTTCGGCTTTATCTTCAGGAGCTGAAAGAGGAGCAAAGGTTACTTCCTAGCCGGCGGCAGAGGGGGGCTGGAAGGGCTCCCACGGTACTACCTCGCCACCCCAGCCTCTCGGGCAGACGCGTGTCGAACCTGTTCCTCGGGACCTCCACCTCCGCATGCAGGCAGTGCCCGCCAGGCCCGCCACCCCGGCAGCTGGGGAGGCTCTGCTAGTGCCGCCCTGCGTCTCCAGGACCCTAAATGAAGCCCCGTGGTCCTGGTATTTCCCAGTCTTAGAGGAGATATTTCTGTTTCTGCACTTGTGAAGAGCTTTCACATATTTGACCACTCTGCACATCTCCCTTCTCTGATGGAAATATCCCCCCACTCATGTTTTCCAGACCATTCCCATTGCTGCTGCCGCCTCCTGGCCCCCTTTCCCAAAGCATCCATCCTGGAGTCAGTACCACGGAGCCTTCCCAGACCAGAAGTGCAGGATTTGCCCTGTCACGTGTCAGTCCACAGCCCAGCCCAGAGTTCGGGCTGGACATCCAGAGGCTTCACAGGATACGCTCATTGTTGGCGTGATCCAGACTAGCCCCCGCAGAAGTGCCTGGCGTCGCCACCCCACGCACAGCAGCAGGATCCCTCCCGTGGGGGGAGATCTGTGCTTGGGGAGTTGCCTCCCATTCACGTCAGGCTCTTGCTCCACCTCAGTCGAGATTTTTTGGAGACTCCCCACCCTGCCTTCCAACATGCTTTCAACCCCCAAGGGACCAAAATCACTGGTGGTTGATTGCAGGCACCCTCTGTCACCCGGAGCTTTTCCCTGCTCCCTGCCGCGGCAGCGTGAGGTTGGTCTCCAGCAGCACAGTACAAGGGCTGCGGCGTGAGGACAACGGCTGCCGGGCACACGGGGAAGAGACGACCGGCACTTTGCTCACAACACATCCCACTTGGCACAGCTCCTGCGGTGAGGGCAGGAACCACAGCTGGTGCAGCCCTTGGCGCTCGCCATGCCCCCAGCACACACACATACCGTCAGCGCCACTGCGGGCATCTCCTGACACCGGGGAGCCTCGCGTCGCTCTGCGATCCTGGGGCAGCAGCAGCCCCAGCAGGCACAGTCACGGGCAACTGGGACACCCCCGGCCCTGCCACAGGGCGGGAATAGACTGGACAGGCAAAGGCAGTCAGCAAGAGGGACCACGCAGGGAGCAGAGGGCAGGGAAGCAGGGAGCAGAGGGCACTAGCAGCAGGAAGTCACCTGGCCTCAGGGATGAGCCCAAGGAGCAGGGACCCTCCTGGATTGGCATGCATTTCAGCAGTTGTGATTAGGTGCCCTCCCTGTTATCCACGCTGCTACGATGTCCAGAGGACGTGAAGCTGGAAGTTCACCCACCCCTGCTTGGTGAGGAGCCCACAGCCTCCCCAGCGGCAGTGCCTACCTGCATGGTGACGGTCCTCGTCTCGACCGGAATGCAACGGA